AACACACATCCATTAATGTCTAAACCGTTGACAACAAAAGTGAGTACACCCCTAAGTGGAAATGTTCAAATTGGGCCTAATTAGCTATTTTCCCTCCCCAGTGTCATGTGACCCGTTAATGTTACAAGATCTCAGGTGTGAATGGGGAGCAGGTGTGTTAAATTTGGTGTTATCGCTCTCACTCTCTCTCATGGTCACTGGAAGTTCAACATGGCACGTCATGGCAAAGAACTCTCTGAGGATCTGAAAAAAAGAATTGCTGCTCAACATAAAGATGGCCTAGGCTATAAGAAGATGGCCAAGACTCTGACACTGAGCTGCAGCATGGTGCGCAAGACCACACGATAGGTTCCACTCAGAACAGGACTCGCCATGGTCAACCAAAGAAGTTGAGTGCTCGTGCTCAGCGTCATATCCAGAGGTTGTCTTTGGGAAATAGACGTATGAGTGCTGCCAGCATAGCTTTAGAGGTTGAAGGGGTGGGGGGAGTCAGTGCTCAGACCATACGCCGCACACTGCATCAAAATAGTTTGCATAGCTGTCGTCCCAGAAGGAAGCCTCTCCTAAAGATGATGCACAAGAAAGCCTGCAAACAGTTTGATGAAGACAAGCTGACTAAGGACATGGATTACTGGATCATGTCCTGTGGTCTGATGAAACCATGATAAACTTATTTGGTTCAGATGGTGTCAAGCGTGTGTGGGGGCAAACAGGTGAGGAGTACAAAGATAAGTGTGTCTTGCCTACAGTCAAGCATGGTGGTGGGAGTGTCATGGTCTGTGCCTGCATGAGTGCTGCCAGCATTGGGGAGCTACAGTTTATTGGGGGAACCATGAATGCAAACATGTACTGTGACATACTGAAGCAGAGTATGATCCCCTCCCTTCGGAGACTGAGCCGCAGGGCAGTAATCCAATATGATAACGACCCCAAACACACCTCCAAGATGACCACTGCCTTGCTAAAGAAGCTGATGTTAAAGGTGAAGGACTGGCCAAGCATGTCTCTAGACCTAAATCCTACTGAGCATCTGTGGGGCATCCTCAAACAGAAGGTGGGGGAGCGCAAGGTCTCTAACATACACCAGCTCTGTGATGTCATCATGGAGGAGTGGAAGAGGACTCCAGTGGCAACCTGTGAAGCTCTGGTGAACTCCATGCCCATGAGAGTTAAAGCAGTGCTGGAAAATAATGGTGGCCACACAAAATATTGACACTTTGGGTCCAATTTAGACATTTCCATTTAGGGGTGTACTCACTTTTGTTGGTTTAGACATTAATGGCTGCGTGTTGAATTATTTTGAGGGGGCAGCAAATTTACACTGTTATACAGGCTGTACACTTACTACTTTACATTTAATTTCTTCAGTGTTGCCACATGAAAAGATATAATAAAATATTTACAAAAATGTTAGGGGTGTACTCACTTTTGGAAGATATTATTTATATATATATATATTCCATTTGTTTTATATTGATATTTTGATTTCATATATATTTTTATAATTCAGTGAAAAGCCCTTTCCTTCTGGAAATCTGGTGTTCTTCCAGGTAAATATATGAAATGCTGAAGCTAAGAAAGAATGCAACAGACACACGCAGAGATGGATATGGGCATCACACTGGCAGCAACAAGCAGTTCAAAGACCTCTGAATGTAAAAATTCAAAAACTATTACTTTTCTTTTCACATGCCAATGAGAACGAGTTACTGGATCACTAAAACATGTTTAAAAACAGTGATTTGAGATGTTTGGAGGGGAACTTGCCAATCGAGTTTCTGCTGAAACTGCAGCTACATCCCAAATTGTCAATTTTCAAGTTCATGTGGCATTTTCCTCACTAAATTCAAAAATCGCAATCCCAGCTGAGAAAAATATCTTGGCTTCTTCATGGTATGAGTGTTAGCATTGTAGAAAAAAAAGTTACCAAGCCTTTTTTTAACAGCAGTATTTCTGAAGATATATTTTTTCACATATACATACAGGAAATGATTTAGAGAGCAGACAGATTCCAATGCAAATTATAAAAAAATTGAAAGAAATATACAAAATTGTATGCTGCCTGGTGATGCTTCAGCTTTTATGGTATAGGCAGCGCTGTATTTAGCACAAGGCAAATTAGGCATTTGCCTTGGGCGTTACTTTCCAGGGGGCCGCCCCACAAGTGCCCTGGCAAATACCTTGTTTGCCTTGACTTATGGGGGGCCCAAGAGTTGGCCTGCTGGCCATACTTGAGCCTCCCAGGGCACCCGGACAGTTTCTTTTACAGGTGGGTGGCCTGCAGTGATGCCGGGAGCCAGTATGTGACGTCACTCCAGCGCCTTGCAACAATAAGCAGCACGCGAGGGAGCTTAAAAGGAGGATCAGAGCTCCCTCGCCGCCTATTTTGTGCACTCACTACCCCCATTGCCTATCCACCCTACACTCTGCACGCCTGCCCGCCCAGTGGCCAGCCCAGCAGCCCCACTGGACCCCATGTAAAAATCCACTTAGCTCTCCCAAAGGTAGAGAGGCTGGGTGGTTTTAAATTAAAATAAAAGTACATAATTATTTGTAAATGTTGGGGGGAAATGTGTGTGTCAGTCTGTGAGTGTGTGTCAGTGTGTGTCAGTCTGTCATTGTGTGTGTGTGTGTGTGTGTGTGTTTGTCTGTCTGTCAGTAAATTTGTTGTTAAATCTGTCAGTGTGTCTGAGTGAGTGTATCTGTCAGTGAGTTTGTCTGTCAATGAATGTGGGTTATGTCTGTCTGTCAGTTTGTGTGTATGTATGTCTGTCAGTTTGTGTGTGTCTGTCTAAGTGTGTTGTATGTCAGTGTGTGTGTGTCAGTGAGTGTGTAATGTGTCTGTCAGTGAATGTGTGTTTATATCTGTGAGTGTGTCTGTCAGTGAGTTTGTTTGTCAGTGAATGTTTTTTCTGTGAGGTAATTTGTGTGTGTATGTCAGTGAATGTGTGTGTACATCTGTCAATGTGTGTGTCTGTCAGTGAATGGGTGTGTGTGTCTATCAGTGTGTGCCTGTGAGTGTGTGTATGTCTGTCAATGTGTGTTTGTCAGTGAATGTGTGTATGTCAGTGAGTGTGTACGTGTCTTTCAGTGCGCGTGTCAGTGCATGTCTGAATGATTGTGTGTGTCTGTCAGATTGTGTCAAATCAGTAATTGTGTTTGTCTGTCAGATTGTGTCAAATCAGTGAGCGTGTGAGTATGTGCCAGTCAGTGAGTGGGTGTGTCTGTGTATATGTCAGCCAAAGAGTGTGTTAGTCTATAACAAGAAGAGGTGTGGCCTTGACTGGAAGGGGTGGGGTAAATTTAAATTAGGGGGTGCCCGACTTCTGTCATACCTAGGGCAGCACAGATTCAAAATACACCACTGGGTATAAGTAAAAAAAAATATCACAAAAAGTAGAAGCCTTACTAGTGCAGAAAAAGAAAGCTTTCGCCAACAAAAAAAGCACCAGGGCAATGTATTCTTTGTTTCCAGCCTTCATTTATATGGAACTGGCAAGCTTAACAGGACCATTTTTTTCCATATGTACATCAAGAATTACAATAGACCATCTCTGGAAAGGAGGATACATTGAACCAGTGTCATGGCTACCTAACTCGACCTCTAAGAAAATTTAACATTGTCAATAAAAAAACAACTTAAAACGTAATTTATCAGTGTAAATGGTACATCAAAAAGCATAACTGGTGTAAACCCAGAATTAATTATAACAGAGCCAGCAGAAGGTTCAAAGAACAGATCAAAATCCCAAATATTGGTTATGGTTGCAATAAAGAAAAATAACAAATGCTTATATCAGGATTCTGGAAGTTCCTAGAGCACGATATGAAGGAGCTTGAGGTTCTCATGATGAGTAATAAGTCCTCCTGTGCAGAGATAGTTTGCAATGTTTCCTCCAAGAACAGAATTTTCTTTTGGGAAAAAGCAGTTTGCCATCAAAGTTACAGCACATGCAAAATTGTACAGAGCAGACAACAAATAAATGTCTGTTCTCTGGTTTATTACATGTCCTTGGTTAAATAAACAAAAAGGTTGTACTTACAGTAATAAGCCCTGGATCTGCATGGCCATATCAATTCACACCACACTACTATAAAGGAAGACCAGGCACACAGGAGGTAAGTGGCACAGAAATGTTATTCCCACAGGGATTAATAGCAGCAATGTTTTGGTTCATTAAGTTCCGTAAGTTATTAAAGGAATACTAATAGTCTTTGAGTCTAGTTATTTGCTACTAAAGGAGGGGATCATTCTGTTAATAATTAGTTTAAATTTTTTTTTTCAGCACTTGGAAATTCTGCATCTGTCATAAAACAGTCCTCAAACTTATTCCTCAGTTATAACATGGTGGAATACAACCACCTAGTGATTTATATCATTAGAATCTTGCATAAAAAATTACTTATGAAGCTAAGGAAAGCATTCATGTTTTCTGGTTAACAGACATATTTGTGGAATTATTATTACCAATGATAATGAGAATAAATTATTTTTAGAGTATGCATTTTATTCAGAAGTATTTCCAGTGTGATAACTTTAGGCAATAATTACATTAGTCTTTGAGAAATAAGAGATTGAGAGTGGCACTTGAAAATATGTAATAAACAAATTGTCACTATTAATTTATTTCCAATAAGAAATTTAAAATAACCATATTTGATTTTATAATGCTTTATTTTAAAGGCTAAACAATTGGCATTCAATTATTTGCTCTCTAACATTTCATTGTTGTTATAATGCATCCAACAGTATTTATTGCCTTTTGTCAAAGTGGAGTATAGGTGACAATATTAACCTATGTTTTAATATAGGGCACAGACTACTTAAAGTATGAAGCATGCTTCATTCTTCTAGAAGGTAGTTAATAAATGAATATAAGAATATGTTCAGCACAGTGATGAACTGCAAGAATAAAAATGAATATCTAGTTGTATTTATATAAATTAGTGTAATAATGTGTGTATGCATGCATTATAAAAAAAACAAAAATTAAGAGTATTTATTCACATAGATCAATGACAAAATCGTGTTTATAATATCGAATTATACTGTCACTAATTGTTTTAGTAACTAAACCACCAATGTTGGTCTTGATAACTGATATAGAAATTTGACTTCCAAAAGTCAAGCAAACCAATGAAGTGGCCATCACAAGATCAGATTGATTTGAGAACTTTCTCTCATATAACTCCTTGGTTCTCAAATGTTCTCGTGCCAATTTGTCCTCGTTACCTAGAAAACAAAGGAGCAGAAATACACAACCCAAACAAGCTTTCTGCAAACAGCCACCAACACAAAATAATCTATTGTTAATTTAAATATGCAACGCAAATGTCCAAAGAAAGATGATATGAAAATAGTATCACAAATGGAGAAGGTTGCTTCCTTAATTGAAGCCATGATGCAATTTCAATCTAAACCACTGCTCATGATTGAATAACTGAAAGTTTAAACATCCTAATTAGTAGAAAAATACTGAGAGTGAATTGTAGATCAAAAGATGAGCCAAGCAATGTCAAAGCAGCATCTGGCTGATGAACAATGAACAACAGTTTATGCATTTGAGAGTAAAACTAGAATATGAAATTTATTCTACAGATGGGTCCAAGGATTGGACAATAGAGCTCAAACCATACCACATAGTAAAAATACTTTAATTAATCATCTAATTATACATCTGGATTGTGACATTTGGGGTTGACAAGGCTGTTAGACTATTTATGTACAAAAGATAACATATATATACCACATACAGTAGGAGTCATTTGCAGCAACGGAGTCATAGGGAGCAGTCTTCGTTTTTTAGGCAATCTCAGATATCTGTAAAAGTTCTGTCATGAAGCACTGATCATACTGATGAAGGTTGTAGAGATATGCGTTGTCACATCTCACATCACAAGCAGACTCCATCTGTCACACACATATACCACAAACTCTGTAGTACTACTGTCTACACAGAGGACAGTGAGTTTTTCTTTGCAAAACATTATTTGTTTGTACTTGCACCCTAGGCCAAAAGTTACTTGCCCACACCTAAATATTTTGACTCATTGCTCGAGTGATTTAGGTCTTGAAAAAAGTCAGAGTCGGACTAAAACGTTAAATGTACCACCTTTGCACAAATAAAGTAAATATGGCACAAGACTACAAGTCCTCTGAGTGCATTTCTCCGAGATGGTAAGTGATTTAATAGTATTAATAAATGCATGTAATCACCTACTAAAATACTTCTAGTTAGATATGTGCTTTTCGTACAAATAACACACTAGTATGCCATCACAGTTGTATCAATATATAGTAAATCTTAACATAATATAATTTTTGAGCATGATCTCATTACAATTGGAGTAATCAGCAGGATCTTACCTGGCTATTTATTATTATCTGTTGTGAATTTCTACAGCAATTATCTGTTGGATGCTGACATTTTTTTTTCCTTTTTCTTTTTTTCTTTAGCTAACTATGAGTAACAGATTAGCAAATATTTCCCTGTACTGGCTGTGCAAACTAAAAACATTGCTGTATTTATTTAGCTGCTAAGACATAGAGCTAATGACGTGTTACTATTATAATGCTTTATTTTCTCAACATTTAGTTGAACAGTGACCCAAGGCGAGTTAATTTTTTTTTTATACATATGTAATAGTAGCATGAAGATATTGTAAGTTACAGCCATCGGCAGCTTTTAGTTAAAAAACCCAGTGCATACTACTAATCACTGAACAAAAGTAATAGTAGTTGATCCATGATGACAATGTAACAAATCTGTTCAATACAGTTCTTAGGTACATTTTTATATTTTTGTTATTACCCCACCCACTCTCTATCTGGAGCAGGAAAACAGCAGCAGTGTTGATACAAAATAGGGAAGGGGCATCACTTCTCCATAACATCTAACTTCCTTTTAGTGATGTTTTTAGTGGTAGTGATTGTTAATTTTGTCAGACACAACTTAAATGTTTTACAGAGGGAAATACCAAGAGGCAAGCTTATGCTTATGATTTTTAAGAAATCCTAATTAATTAAGAGTATTTTATTTGATATGTTGTGACTACAAATGCTTGAGACTAACTTAAAAACAGCAGCTTCATTAAACATCACTCTATACTCCATTACTCTAAAATTGTGAAATTGTTTAATTTGGACACATTTTAACTTACTTTATTTATATATATATATATACATATATACACACACACACATATATATATATATATATATATATATATATATATATTAACCCGAAGAAAATGGGTTAATCGGCATCATGATGCCAAATGCTCCACGGAGTCGAGGAATTCCAGTCCAATTATAGCCGCCTTCCTAACTTAATAGTTTAAAAATCTTCATTTTAATGGCTTTATGACTCCTGGAAATGTCAGCTATATTGCTCATAAATCATCATCCTTTCTGTTAGCCCTCTTAGATTAATATAAGATCCCTTTAATTACATTCCTGCTGTGGGCTATCATATCTAACCCTTTCCTAGGGTTTACTGCTCTGCCCTTAAATAAGCCACCAAAGCCAATTAATATGTTCATGACATAGGCAAGGGATCTGAACAACTCTGTTTTTTTTATTTATTTATTTTTTTATGATTTTACATGTACTTTAAAATCTATGTATATATTCAGGCACAAATATGTCCTCATCATGATTAAACAAACTAGACTAAAATTGAATAGGTGGACATATAGCTAGGTAGATATGCAGATAGACATATGAGATATGATTTTAACATGGTGATTCAAATAACTTGTAACCAGCAATATTTAATTAAAAAAATAAATTAATATTTTCTCTCAAAACAGCAAAAATGAAAGCATACTGTCAATGCACATCCTTTAAATAGTTTAAGCTTGATTGTGTAAATCTGACTGTATCGAGCTAACACATCTTGAATTTTTAATCTTTTACCACTCTATGAGATTAAAAAATGAAAGTATTTATGTAATATATTAATGTTTTGTTTTATATCAACATAATCTAGTAATGAGTATAAGCAAGGATCTTTATGCAATATTTCCCCATTATAAATATTTAATTGACGTGATTGTATTATTAAAAATGGGACCATTTAAGTAGCATTATTAATAAGTAGGTCTCTGCAGGACATACTTTCTCTTTTTAAATGGCAATAGGACGGCACATTTAGTATGTAAAAAATGAGCCAAACACATCTTTCAAACCCTTTATGTGCAAACAAGGGTTCATGTTAAATTAATCGAAAACAATGTTACCTCAGCATTGAGGACAATTAATGGAGACATAGCGTACAGTACAATTTATTATAATAGGATTCAAGCTAAAAGCTTTCTCCGCATGCATTGTTCTTGGTATTAGGGACATTATGCATTACATTGATATAACTGTGCTTGACAGAAGCTGCTAGATATGGCGTGTGCTTCATAACAAGAACATTGCTGGCAGTCATTACACTAGTGTAACCAACAAACATTAGCCACGTAATATTCAAGAAGCAGAAAGAAATATTCCAAGGATATAAAATCTTGATACTTACATGCTGTTAGGGATCACATCCTAATTAGCCAGTTCATTAACTCATTGATGAGATAAGACGATAGTGGAGCATAATGTATGGAGTATTTAACCTTATGCAAATAGTTAGTGAAGTGGAGAGACCAAGCTGGTCATCATAATTAAAAGATCTCATAACTTCCCTCTTCCTGTAGCATACTTCTTGATATTATTAAAAGATTCAACTTGAAATGGAAAGAGTGTTAACAAAAGAAATTAAAGTAAAGTGGGAAATAGCCTCTTTGGAAAAATATTTGGAAAATACAATTACCCCTAGAGGCCTTAGATTTAAACAAACTACCCACATTTGACCAGGAAAATGTGAATTTCATGACAAAGTGTTTTCTTGAGTTCAGTACAGTAGGACTCATGAATATGATAATTAAACAAAGAAAGTTGAATCTAATTACGATGGACAAACAAATTGTAGAATTTCAGCTGAAACGGATGAAGGTCTAGTAATCATGACTCATCAATATTACCAAGAAGAAGACCTAAAATTGTAGGTGATACAGCCACCTACAAAGTATTGAGGGCAGATCTAATTATGGGTATTAAAAATCCCTTCTAGGGTTTTCTTAATAGAGGCCTAGATCAAGGAAGTCTTACTAAACACAAATTTGAATATTTAAAAAGATTACATCCAAAAACCACTTTTTTTCTATTTTATTTTTTTCATTTTGTATTTTTGCAGTGCAGAAATAAGCAAACAGGCTTGGGGTGCTCCAACAGCATACCACAAGCTTTGCATCATCCAGAACTTTTGATGGATTCCAATTAACATGCACAATTTTTGTAATATAATAGAATAACAAGGTCATTTGTGCTCAACTTACAGATGCTTTGCAGAAATAAGAAAACACGGTGTTATAGAGGTGAGAAATCACCATTATACATAAGTATATATAAGCGTTCAGTGCACAGTGATGGGGGAGTCTGTGAGCTTATTATTGTATTAGTAGTAAAAAGTAAGCTATACACAGATCGACCTAGGCAGCCTTATGTGGTGGAATGAAGTGAATGAGGGACTATATGGGGCTGACAATCTTTTCATCAACTGGCTTCTTGCCCTACATTTACTTGGGTGTCTAAATAAGTAGGTTATAATGGGCAACATGAAGTGTAGTCATATACCTGCCATCCAGCCAGAACTCTTGCTGTGCGGTAGATAGACTCTGGATGGGAGACTGATTTCCTAGGTGTGTTTTATGCCTCTGGGCAAAAAAATGCTTGATTAACTAAGCATACAGCAAGTTAGAGGCAGTGGGGTGAGTGGGGGGGGGGAGGGAGTGAGAGAGAGAGAGAGCTATCTGTTCCTCAACATTCTCTAGGAGCGCTGTGTGCCTTATTTGTTACCAGAAAAGAAAGGACAAAAAATAAAGTAAAATAAAGCAAAAGAGCTTACATGAGAGAGACAAAGTAAACAATTAACTATTTACAGTTCTGTTCCAGGATGTTATGGTAAGCCATCTAGGGTGCATGAGGCCTAAGGTGGTGGCAACTGAGTAGGAGTCCGAGAAGGCCTGTTGTGGGACAAATGGAGTGACTTTCGCCGGCCCCATCTACGCAAGGACTCGTTGTGATCCAGATAGTTGCAGCGAGTCCTGCGGAAGGCACAAAGTCACCATCAGAGCAGCCGCTTCTTGCAGGTCCTGGACAGGTCCTGTCCTGTGAGACAATGTAGCTTGGAGGAC